AAAAATGACTATTGGAGATGTCACTCAGTACAAAGGTCTTAGGTTCAATCTCCAACACCACAAAGAGAAGCAAAGCAAAACCAGTTGCCTCACTTTTCTAGAGTCTACAGGTCTAAAATCAAGGGTCAGGAAGGCCACCCTCCCTCTGATGGCTCCAGGAAGAGTTCACCCCTTGCCTCTCCAAGCTCTGGTGGCCCTGGCATCTCAATTTGCAGGTACACAGCTGTAACCCTAGACTCCATTTTCACAGCTGTTTGTTTATGACAAGATCTCACTCTGTAGTTCAGGCTGGCCTCAAACTTGTGGAGATCTTCCTGCTTCAGCCTCCCAAGTGCTGGGATTACAGGTGTGCACCACCATGCCCATCGACTTTTTTCTGTGTCTGTCCAACTCTGTCAAAGATACCAGACATCAGAGTTTGCCCTAAATTCAGGATGATTTCATCTTAATTAATGACACCTGCAAAGACACTGCAAGGTCACATTCGAGATTCCAGGAAGACTAGGTCTTGGGAGATGCTATCCACTACAGAACACTCTCCGGATCCCAAGGTCTGATGTGGCCAGTGCCACACTCACTTCCATCACAGAACTGCAGCCCTGAGCCAGCGCCTGGTACAAGGGCTCATGGGAGGCCCTGAGCCCACCTACCCTTTCCACTCACTTCCCAGCCGGAAGTCACTGCCCAGGAAGCTCCGAACAAATCCCTGAGGTCAGATCACACCCACGTGGATGCCTCTCACAGCACAGCCCTCCCTCGAAAAGCACTCTTCACCACACACACACACACACACACACACACACACACACCCCTTGGAGCTCTCTGTCTGCACCTCTGGGCTCCCATCTAGGAGCCACTGCTGTTCACAGGGTGGCCCGGTGCCTGGCACAGCACTTAACCACATCAAGATCCCCAGTATCGCTGAAGTCAACGGAACCAATGAAATAACATAAACAACATCCTACCCCTGGCATTTCTGCAGGTCTCAGTAAACTACCAATTTCTCTAAAGGATCTTCAGGGCTAGTTTTCAGTCAAGACTTGTTTTTACAGTGTTTGCTCTTTTGGCTGCCAGAGATCGAGTCTCACCAGGACTGGCTTGAGCTGGAGGGAGAGAGTGCCAGGAAGATACTGCAGTGTAGGGTTCAAAAGTGAGCCATCAGAAAGACAGCAATAACCAAAAGCAACTAAGCCAGGCGTGGTGGGCACACCTGTAACCCCAGCACTCAGGAGGCTGAGGCAGGAGGATCACTGGGAGTTCAAGGCCACACTGAGCTACACAGTGAGTTTAAGGTCAGCCTGAACAGCATAGTGAGACTCTGTTTCAAAAAAAAAGTAACCATGCAGAGGGACTATTACACCAAGTAGATTATCCATTTAATTCTATGAGTTATCAGCATTTCTATTTTATCACTTATCTTGCAGATATGGAAACTGAGGCTCATGAACACACAGCTAACACTGTCATTATAACATCCCAAGAACTAGTATTTTCCCTTCTTAGAGATAAAGAAACTAATTTTTTTGGGGGGGGGGTCCTCGCTATATAGTTCATGCTGACCTTGAATACACAATATAGCCCAAGCTGGCCTTGAACTGCCAGCAATCCTCCTGCCTCACCCTCCCAAGTGCTGGTATCACAAGGTGTGCACCACACTTGGTGAAGAAACCAAATTGTGAGGTTGAGAAACTTGCCCAAGGGCCGGGGATTTAGCTCAGTGGTTCCGCCCCCTGTCTCACAGGCACAAGATCCTGAGTTCAATCCCCAGTACCTCAAAAAAGAAGAAACTTGCCCATGATCACACGTCTCCTATTAGGGAACAGGTCTGAACAGATTTTATGTGCCACCAAAGTTCAGGCTCGAAAATCCTATAATGTAATGGCATTCAAAACCTTTTATAACCAGATGTGGAGATGCACTCCTGTAATTCCACCTACTCAGGAGGCTGAGGCAGGAAGATCACAAGTGCAAGGCCACCCTGAGCAATTTAATGAGATCCTGTCTCAAAATAAAAATGTGTGGAGAGGCCAGGCATGGTGACACACATCTGTGATCCCAGCACTCAGAAGGCTGAGGCAGGAGGATCACTGCAAGTTCATGGCCAACCTGAGCTACACAGTGAGTTCAACGCCAGCCTTAAATACATAGACTCTATCTCAAAAGAAAAGAAAGGGCTGGGGATTTAGCTCAGTGGTTCCGCTGCCTGCCTGGAAAGCGTAAGGTCCTGAGTTGGATCCCCGGTACCAACAAAAACAAAAGTGTGAGGAAGGTAGCTCAGTGGTAAAGTGCCCCTGGACTTGACCCCCTGTACCACAAATAACAAACAAAAACACCTTTTGTAGGGGCTGGGGGTGTACTTCAGTGATAGAGTGCTTGACTAGCACACATGATACCCCAGGAGGGATGGCTATGATCAGGAAAATAGTGGTGCTGGCAAGTATGAGGAGAACTGGAGCCTTCCTCACATGCTGCTAGCGGGAATGTAAAATGGTTTGGGAACTTTATAAAATAGTCCCACACTTCCTCAAAGTGTTAAGCACTGTGCTACCATATGGCCCGGCACTTCCACACCTCCACGCCCACAAACAAAACAGAATGTGCATTAGGGTCAGAGAGGCATTATCCAAAATAGCCAAAACAGGAAAAAAACCCAAATATCCATCAGCTGATGACTGAATAAAGTGCAGCAATATCATTACAATGTAACATTATTCAACAATAAAAAGGGGAGGGGGCCAGGAATGTAGCTCAGTGGTTCGCCCCGCCTGCCTCCCAAGCACAAGGTCCTGAGTTCGACCGCCGGTACCAAAAAAAAAAAAACAAACAATAAAAAGGAATGATGTACCAATGCATGCTACAACATAAAGGAGCGTCGAAAATATGCTAAGAGAAACCAGACACAACAGACCACATGCTGTATCAGAATTAGCAAATACATAGAAAAGAGATCAGTGGTTGCCTAGGGTAGGAGGAGCTGGGAGGAAATGGGGTGATAAGAATGTTCTAAAATCGCTTGTGCTGACAGGTGCACAACTGTGAATACACTAAAAACCATGTCGCACTCCTGTGATCCCAGCACTCAGGAGGCTGAGGCAGGAGGATTGCCACGAATTCAAGGCCAGCCTGGAATACATAGGGAGACCTGCCTCAAAAAAAAAAAAGTGAATTCAACCTGGCATGGTGGCACACACCTGTAATCCTAGCACTTGGGAGGCTGAGGTAGGAGGAATGCTTCGAGTTCGAGGCCAGCCTGAGCTACATAGTGAGTCCAGGGCGAGCCTGAACTACAAAGGGAGACCCTGCCAAAAAAAAAAAAAAAAAAATGTGAATTGTGCAATGTGCAAATTACAGCTCATAAAGCTGGTTTTCAAGTCTTTGAAGACTTGAACCTTTTACCTATTTTCTACTAGTCTTCATTTAACAATGGAAAATGCTTCATTTAAATTTGAAATACAAGCCCTTCCATGCTTATATGAAAAAAATGACAACTTTTGGGAAAGTTACAAGGTCTCACCAGGTAGGCCTGACTAGCCTCTAACTGTAATTGTCCTGCCTCAGCCTCCTAAACAGCTGGGAATACTGATCCATATCCAGCTTAGAAGTTTTTAAATAATTTAAACTCTATCTTAGTAGATGATAGCTTCACAGAATTACACTGTTGTTTACTCAAACTTCAAAATACCATCTAATATGCTGGTTACCTTACCAGTCAGCACTGCATATTAGCTCCACTCCTTACACTCTGGCTATGAGATCGCAGTCAGCATTGCGTATTATGGTCAGGTAATTCAAATGAACCCACATGTCTGCTGGAGACAGTTTCAACTCTAAAGAGTTCAAACACAGCTAGATGTGGTGGCACAAGCCTGTAATCCCAGCACCCACCCTGGGAGGCTGAGGCACGAGGATCACAACCTCAACCCAGCCTGAGCAACTAAGCAATTTAGCAAGATCCAGTCTCAAAAGAAAAAATAAAACAAGGCCTGGTGATACAGCTCAGTGCAAAGACCCTGAATCCAATGCCCAGTACCGCAAAAAAAAAGTTCAAACACATGGAAACATAACACACATGTGTAAATACTAAACTAACAAATGATTATTTCAATCAACATGTACTGAACTGTTGCTAAAGACTTGGAGGAAAGTTTTAAAAAGTTTATCACCTAAAGATCTCTTTGGAGCTTGGTAGGCTTCTCTTCACAAGAAGGGTCTTGTTTCTCAAAGTGTATTTCACAGCACAGCAGCAGCAGCAGCAGCAGCAGCAGCCACCTCTGTCTTAGTTACTTCTCTTGTTGCTGAGACAAAATACCCAACGCCCAAAGTTAAGGGAGAAAAGGTTCATTTAGCTCAGTTTGTAGAGGTTTCAGTCCATAGTTGGCTGGCTCCACAGCAGGGTGGCATGGCAGAGGGATATCACAGGAGAAACAGTCCGTGGCAGGCAGAATGTAGCAAGCAAGCAAACAAAGGATGACCACAGCTCTTTCTATCCCTTGTATCTTACCCAGGCTACACAGGACAGGCAGCACGCACACCCTTAATCCTAGTGCCCTTGAGCCTAGCATTACACCATGAATCAATCCCAGTGTGACATACCCTAGATCCACCCACCTCTGAAAACCCCCCACCTATGAACACATGAGGCTTTGGGGGACAGCTAGACACAAGCTATAACAGCTTCTCTTGGGGGCTTTTTAGAAATGGAAGTTCTCAGGCCCCACTATGGCCTCCTCAGCCATGATCACTATTTTAACAAGAGCCCCAGGGAACATGTCTACAATTAAAATTTGAGGAATATTGTCAGAAGAGCCTTCCTTTTTTTTTTTTTTTTTTTTTTTTTTTTGGTACCAGGGGTCAAACTCTGGTCCTTACACTTGCGCAGCAAGCGGTGAAACCACTGAGCTAAATCCCCGGGCCTTCTTTTTTTAAAATTGCTTCTTTCCCTGAATGAAGATAGCTCAAGCTCTCACTAGACTATTATTTTGATAACCTGACATACATACAGTTCTGGTCCTGGGCCAGCTTGTCCCCAGGTCCATTCCTCACTCCTCTGCTCTATGGACTGCAGAATGAGTCCTACAGGCAAGGGAGCTAAGGACGTTTGTGGCACCAACTGTGCCCTCCGGCAAGCTCGCCAGATGGACCGCTGTAGTTCCAGCTTCTGGCAGAGCCAGTTGCCCCTGCAGTCACCCTCACTCCTCCCTTTGTCCCTGCACTTAGGGATGGCAGTGGTTTCCCTCTGGTTGCTTCATCTCCAAGTTGCCTCACTGCCTGTGGTTTGCATTCTCAGTTCCCCCAGCACCTGTGCCAGGGCTCAGCTGCATCCAACTACCTCTGGCTTCCACACTGAAAGGGGCTTGTTTCCTGCTAGACTCAGAAAGATAGCCCACAGCATTTAGATATTTCTATTAGATACCAAATACATCAGAGGAAGTTAGTGAATGCCAGCTCTGCTGCAAAAGGGAGTTGGTGCATGCGCAGAAAACCTCACATTTCCCACACTCTGACGATCCCTAACAACCGAGAAGAAAAGCAGCCTTGAGCTATCTGTACAGCAGATGTGACTGTGTTCCGAAATGCTAGTCCTCTGGGTGTATTTTTAACATTGTACCCAACACTCCCCCTCACCCAGAACAGCTGGTGTAGCAGCTATTGTTTTAGGGGGGGAAAGAAAGAAAGAAACACCTCCTGAAGAACAAAATTCTGGACTCGTACTGGAATCTCAGAGGAATGGAGCCTCTCTCACTATGGCCAAGACCTCACACCTGTAATTCTCAGGCGACCCCACAATGGGCAGCGCTCCACTAAAGGACCAAGCAACAAGAGAGAGCAACCCTCCAAGCTCCTCCGGAAAGCACCTAACCGGCATGTACCTGGAATCCTTCTCTATGGTTCCCTCGTGCTGTCAAAGCCAAAAAGCTAACCCTCCCCAATGGGACCAGCCCTTCAAACTCTTGCCCTGACCTACCTTTCCAGCCTTTTCCAAATTCCACTCAAGCTCATCACTTGCTGACTCAACTTCTGGCCATTTCCAGGTGTGCCTAAACTTCAGACGCAACTCTGGAACATGGGGAACAACATTTCCTCCATGGAAAGTTGTATTCCTGAGGACCCCACATAAGAGGATATCTTTATCCCTGCTGCCTCCTGGGGCAGCGAACTTCTTTGTTCGCTGGGCTTCCACAGCGCTCGTGTTGTAATGTTACCTGCACAGGTTCCCATCTCTCTATTAGCCTGGATCCTGACAGGTTTGGACCCAAATCCACATTTACTACGTGGGCAAGTCATCTAACCGCTGCACTTCAATGTCCACTTTCATAAGGAGAAAATGACAGACACCATCTGATTTACTGGGCTACCAACACACTAAGTTAATCATTTGAGGCGCCTAAAGCGAACCCAAAAATAAGTGCTATCACAGAGTAAGCGCTGAAGAACTGCTATTACTACTCTATCATTCCCAGTACCATTATCCCTAGGATGGTACTGGTGCTCAGTATGTATCTGCCGAATAACTGGGGCGCTCACAACAACCGTTTGTAACACGTTAGGATCCAACAGGACCTGGGGATCCCGGGTCCGAGGTATCCAAGACAATGCAAGAAATGGCTCCCACGGTAAAGGGACCAACTGGCTCCGGAGGAAAAGCGCACTGCAGCAGGATGAGACAGCCTGTGCCAGCCGGAACTGCCCCACGGAGCCAACCTGCTGCCAGCCACCTGTCCGCCCACCTGCCCACGGAATCCCGGTTCCTAGAGAGGGTTCACCGGGGCAAAAACGAGAAGCAGTTCTCACAGGAACCACAATGGGGAAAAAAAGGGGGCAACTTTCCTCCCGCAGAAAGGACATGCGTCTTTCTGGAGCGAATGCCGGGTGTCCGGGGTCCTCCACGGAGAGTCGGGGGCCCTGCGGGTGCGCACTGCCGGCTACGCGGGGCAGGCGGCGCCGCTGGGGCCGCACATCCCTTCCCTCTCGGGGCCCAAGGCCTAGGGGAGACCCCGCACCGGGGAATGAATGGCTTCGGGGCTCCACACGCATCCACAAAGCGGCCGGCGGAGAGCCCGTCCGGGGCGCAGAAACGTGCAGCGCGGAGCCTGGCGCAGCGGCCCCGCCCCGCCCCTCCCGCGCCCCCCAAGCAGCGCCCACCTGCGCCCCGCCCGCCCCGCCCGGGCCG